CCCCCCCCCCCCCCCCCGCCCCGCTAGCTAAGGATCTTACCAGACCCCACTACACAACCACGACTGCTTCCACTACCAAGGCCACACTCCCCGCGTCCCTATCACCCATACCGCACCGCAGCTTGCAGGCCGAGGCAGGTAACAATCAGTTTTTCAAGAACAGCCTAGTTTCGGCGTGGGCTCGATTCGCAGCCTGTGCTCGATCTGTCTCGGTGTCGTCGTGCTTGCTTCCCATGCTTGGGACTTCTTGCGCATGAACCGGTGGACTTGGGTCTGGGCTCCTTTTCTTGCTCGAGGTCGAGACACGTCCCGTGTTCCTTGCACTGGTTTCGGAACTGCGGGGACTTGTCACCTCTGGAGCTAGCCACCGTTCAGCCGGCTGCGTCACCGGAAGTCTGATCTCATGCTGGCCGATCTGAAACTTCTTGTCTGTTTCTTCGATGAAGTTCATAACGCGATCCAGCCAGGGATCGTGCTTTTCAGGATGCGTTGGCCTCAGATGCATGTGCTGTCGAACACTATGGTACAGAACCTCAAGGATGGGCTACTTCGAAGCAAACCCGCACCACACAGCCTGAACTACATCCTAAAGTGCAAAAGCGCAATCTGGAGTCTCAACACCTGGCTCCCCGAGCTCCCGGATTGGAGGCTTGGGACCTCGAGCCGACATTGGAATCCCGGAGATGTTGTGCAATTCCAAGGTCGCTTGGCCGCACGTCACACAGCCGTTTCTTCATGATCAGGTCGTGTCGAAACGAGCAAATGCAAAAAGCAAGCGAAACAAGTTGCAGATCACTGAGAAATGGGTCCTTCGTCAGCTTCCGCAGCTTAAGCATGTGCCTGCAGAGCATTGGCAAAACATCTTATGACTTACGTGAATGTTTCGCGATGGCGCATGCAAATAATCTGTTTTCGCTCCACTGTAGCGGCACTGTAGCGCTCCAACTATTCAGATGCAAGAACAACAGCAACAAATACTACCACTTCCTTGCTGCTGTTGTTGCTCCACAGCCTCCTCCTCCTCCTAAACACCCTTATCCCACAAACCGTAGAAGCCCTGCAAGCCCCATAATCATTTAAACCCAAGACACTCTACACTCCCATACATCCTGTAAGCTCCATATGAGCCCTTAACCGGATTTTCATGTTTCGGTGCGCTGATGGTCCATGTGCGGCCGAAGCTGTGAGTTGAAGAACAGCGAGCGGGAGAGAACTGTTGGTTGGGAGGGCTTAGGGTCTATATTATGGTTTTTGGGTTTTAGTCATGTTACGAACTCCGTTCCTTTTGCAAGTTTCGCCTCGGGAAAGCCGGGGTTCAACGCGTAGGGTTGAGTGAGCATGCCACAGAGCAGGACATGCAGTCAGCACCAACAGCCACCGGCACAAACGTCACGACCCTGCCTGTCCATTTCGCAAGCGATTCTCTGATAAGAGAAGGAACCAGCAGGCGTGCACAGCTGGACAGGGTTAGGGTCTGAGCGTAGGACATGTTCACGTTTGAAGGTTACTGTGAGTTGGGCTGAATTTATGGAGGTCCGTTGCAGGAGTCGACTATCCTCAGCCTGGCAGTACCAGGTGTTCCTGGACTCAATCGGTTTCTGAATCTGAAAGCCACACCCTCCTCGAAGGATATGCAACATCAGCATTGCGATGTAAGTCTGCAAGTCCTAACTCCCTGAAGCTTAGTGCTTATATGAACCAAGTTCACTTCTAGTCTGGTGAACCAAAACAGCTTGGACGGCGGGAGACACCATCCAAATTGCCTGCTGTCATGGCACCTGGCTGGAGGCTAATGGGAGACTTGAAGGTTTTGGCGGTGTTGGGGAAAGGAAACACGCAAATCCGCATGACTACGCAGGAGGCTCGAGAATGAAGAGGCCAGTAATTGGTATTGAACTCGAGCCTCTGCTGGATTTCCAACATCTCTCTGGCCTCTGTGGGCGCCTGAAGAACCACCTTTGCATGCCAAGACAGGACAGTGGGCTCCTCCAGAAATGTAAAGAGGTGCCGAATAAACGATGTGCCACATCAGCCTGTACGACTCAGCGACACCTCAGAGCCTGCAGACTGTATGGTTTTTGACAGCGTGCCTCTGATATTTGACCGATGAACAGGCCAAAGAACTGACCGGCACCCTTCTGGACGTGGCCAGGCTTGCTTTGCAAGACTGCCACAAACAAAGCACGATGCAGGTTCCGCGAGCACCAGGGCTTGCTTTGCAAACACGCTGTGGTGCCCGGGCGCCTTGTTCGGATCTTGTGTCGGTGTCTCAGCTAAACATGTTCAACAAAAGACGTCCAATCTTCGCGTTTATTGTCTGGGCGGTGAGGGTTGGGGAATGGAACCATCAGACAACATAAACTCTGAAGATCACACCCTGAACGTCAGTTTGACTCAAGCCATCTTGTACTCTGAACTCAGAACTCTTCATCGGCACCCTCCTGGTCTTCGAGGTACTGCTTGATCGTTTGGGACACCTGGGCATTGCAGGGTACACGATCTAGGGGCTAGGGCTTAGGGCGGGTTGAGTGGCTTTGGTGTCGGGCTTCCGGGTTTGGCGTCGTCTTGTGGACTCTTCTCTGCCCAGCCTGAACGACGTCAAGAGAGATGCTTAGCAACAAAACAGAAGCAAAGGAACGGTCTACTAGTGCGTGAATGTTGCTGTGGTGATGACTGCATTGCTGCTGGTAGCGATCCCTACTACCAGTAATGCTGTTACATGCCCAACACTAGCTTATGAGCTTGCTCTTTGTGTGAGTGAGGATCTCGAGATTGCCGCATCAACCTGCAAACGCGCGCACACACACGCACAACACCCCCCCACAAACAAACAAACAAACAAACAAACAAACAAACAAACAAACAAACAAACAAACAAACAAACAAACAAACAACAAAAAAACAAACAAAAAAACAAACAAACAAACA